GGCTATGAAAGTCTTTGAATACTTATTTCTGACAGATAACAATTTCCAGAAATTTAAGGGAAAAATAAAAGCTGGGAAACCCATACAAGTGTTAACTGAGATCAAATGCAAATTAGCTACAGGAAACTAAATGAAGAAATGCAAATTATGAATTTCTATTTCTTTTATTTAAAATATTGTTGGCAGACCAGATCCATGACTCAGTAGCTAAATCCTCATCTTGCATGCACCAGAATCCCATATGGGCATTGGTTCATGTTTGGCTGCTCTACTTGCCTTCCACTTCCCTGTTTGTGAACTGGGAAAGCAGTACAGGGTGACCCAAAGTGTTGGAACCCTGCACCCATGTCAGAGTCCCAGGCGAAGCTCCTGGCTCCTGGCTTCAGATTGGCTCAGCTCTGACCATTGCAGCCTCTTGAGGAGTGGACCAGCGGGTGAAGATCTTTCTCTGTGAAAATCTGACTTTTCAATAGAAATAAAATAAATCTTTTTTTATAAAATTGTTGGTTTCTGCATTAAAATATTGCATCACCTATGATCACCTAAAAATTCTCCTGCAATTTCTATAATTTGCAGTGTTTTGGTAAAGTATAATTTGGCAAACAGAGATGGGAGTGTTTATCTCCAATACTTGATTCATCTAAAATTCAAAAACTCTTTGAGGGACAAATATAAATCTTTCTTGGATTGATTTTTAACTCTGAGAGTTTTCCAAAACTGAGAAATTTTGATGGGGCAAAGCCACTTTGGTTACTATGTTTAATGCAAACTGTCAATCATTCAGTTAAAATATACCTGCTTTTAGAGTATAACGGTTTACTGGTTTTAGGCTTGTTAACATTGACGTCCCTAATGGTTTGGGCACACATTTTCCATTTTGAGCTTTGTGTCTATTGCCAGAATATTAGAGCCAATCCAGCAAGATAGTGCTGGCATGGCACTGCGAGAGGATGACTCACACCTATAGAAAAGAAAAAAATAAGTTCAATAATATTCTTCAAGTAAAGTTAGCTGGAATACCACTTCTTCTAACTCCTCTGTTGCGAGAATGTGTCTAAGAAGGTTTTTGACACTGACTCTTGGCTAAGTGTGTCCTTGAGGGAGTTTGAAGATGACATTAACATTTGAATTGGTCGACTTTGTCAAGTTCTGTGTCTTGCCTGTCTCCTGTGTGAAGTCTCAATCCATTCAATTGAAAGTTTGACAAAAAGAGAGGCAAGAGAGAAGGGGAGGAGGGACAGAGACCCTCACCTTGTAACTCCTGCTGCCTGACTTCTTGGAGCTGAGACATCAGCCTTTTCTGGCCTTAGATTCAAACTTCTGCCTCTTGCATCTTCAGCGTGCTGACTTTTGGATTGACCTTCTCCTGTGTTCCCATCTCGCTTGCTTGCTTCAACTCTTTGAACTTTGCAGTCTTCATAATCACGTGGACCAGTTCCTAATTACACACACACACACACACACACACACACACACACACACACACACACACACTGGGTTCTCTGGAGAACCCAGATCATCAATACAGCAAGACTACCAAAATCAAGGATTGGAAATGAGCATTGTGCTAATCTGCAGCTCCAGATATCATTTAAATAGTAATACCACAAAACAGGTCTTTAAGAAACCTAATTGATTTCTTAGAAAAGATTGAGAGGGAGCCTTGCATTTTGTACAGAGATTTGATCAAACTTAGGGGACTTATTTCCCTCCTGAGCAAAAGGGATAGCCTGAATCAAGATAGGGGGGAAGACATAGACATGTATACTGGGCAGTAATTGCTACCGGTAGTTGACATTTCTCTATCTCTTGCTAAACAAAACTGAAAGGAGACTTTAGTTGCCCCAAGTGCTAGGCAGAGACCAAAAGTCAGAGGTCCCTAGATGAGGAGATATTTGAACTCATTACTGATCTTTTAGTCCAAAGGTATTCTTTCCTTTGAGCTCTTTTTTGGTTGTTTAGGCAAATATATGTATATATATATATGTATTTTTAAAATTTTTGTGGCTTAAGTAAGAAATTAATTTCTCGCTTCAACAGTTTCCAACAAATGCTATGTGTAATGCTCAAGGAGCAGTAATGCTGTTTTATTACCCTGAATCCTAAACTCTCACCTTGGACTCCTCGGTGATGGCTCTACTTCTCAGTTCTTTTTGGACAGGGGAGGGAACAAGGACCAGGCAAGTTGGTCCCTTTTCCCGTTCATCACCTGAGCGGTAGGTAGTGCATGAGATTCATGCTCACGAAAGAAAGGAGGAGATACAGAGATCATGCTTCAGATCACTCCTCACGTCCTTCGGAGCTGACCCATCGTTGTTCATATAAAACCCAAAATCCGTGCCTACTCTCTGGCTCCTTCATGGTCAGGCTACCCACTTCTCAGCCAGGTACGAAGTGCCCTTCCCCATGCCATCGCTCCAACAGTGCTTGCCTTCTATGGTGATTGGCTGTTCAGCTAGAGAGGATTAATGCAAATTGTTATTCTGTCTGGACCAGTTTTCATCCCTGACTTTCTCTCAGAGAGCTTCAACATGTTCTTTCCTTCCCCTCATAGTTGTTTTGCACTCCAGCATACAGCAGTCTCCATTGACCTCTTCCACAGCTTGATGACTCTGTCTGCCTCAGGATGCCAACGGTTCCTTGAACGCAGGCATTGAGCATTTCTCATTTATTGCAGGAGACCCCGTGCCTTTCCCACAGCCAGATGAACACATGCCTCTTGGGTATCACTACCAAGTGAACACATATCTCAACACCTTTAAATGCAATGTCCTGAATCAACTAGGTGGTGCTACCAGAAATGTAAAAACCAAATGGGCTCCTCTTGCTTTGTTCCTCCCAAATCCATCTGGGAAACAAGTGGTTTGAAGAGCAGGCATGATAGACAGGGAAGAGGTGGGGGTGGGGGACAGGAATTTCAGCCAGGGAGTCAAGCCAGGACTCTCACTGTGAAATGGGAACATATTCAAGGGGAATGACCCTCTGCTGAAATGCCTCAGTTCCAAGGTGGTCATTCATTTTGAATTTTTATGGAGTGTGAATAATTTCTCTGTAGAAAAAAAAAATTGATCCCAACCTAAGTTCAACCGGAATCATTAAATTTCTTTCTTCTTAAATTATTTTCATTGAAAAGGCAGATTTACAAATAGAAGAAGAAACAAAAGGAAAGATTTTTACCCATTAGTTCATGCCCTGTAAGGCTACAATGGCTAGAACTAAGCCAATCTGAAGCCAGGAGATTCTTGTGGGTCTCCCACATGGGTACAGGGACCCAAGACTTTGGGCCATTCTCCACTGCTTTTCCAGGTCACAAGAAGGGAGCTGGATGGGAAGTGGGGGCAGCTGGAACATGAACCAGCATCCATATGGGATCCCAATATCAGCAAGAAGAAAATTAGCCCATTGAGGCAGCACACCAGACCTGGGTCATTAAATTGCAACTGAAATCTCAACTGATACCAGTTGGACTCAGCACCTATTGCACAGTTCCATAACATTAAAATATAGACTGCAGTCATGCCAGCAAATCTGCCTTTCGAGAGGACAGTAGTACTTTTAGAGAAGATCAACCTGGGAGCCAGAACACCCCAAAATACAGACTTGAGAGAATAATTTATTTTGAGTAAATGCGATGAGGCTCTATTTCTGATCATGCTTGGTTTTGTTTCCAGGGTTTGTGGCATTTGGTCAGACTCAATTATTTAGTCAATGAGTTACCATTTGAGTACACCCTATATATTATCCTAGAGAGAATCAGCAACCTAAGCAAGTAACTATTTCTGTCTACAAAATGCTTCATTTCTATTCAGAGCAACAAGTATGGGGAAAGAAAGGGAAAAAAAAAACACAGAGGAATGACATACAACTTTGGAATTCCAAATGATACATCCAGTCCCTGTGAAAAGACCTGTGTTAATATTATATAGGACTCTCCTCTAATGTAAGTTAGTAGCCACAATGCTAAAAAGCCAGACCTTTGCCAGTTTTGGCAATCCATATGACATTCTTTCCCTGAGTGCCCTACCCAGAACTCAGTGTTGTTTGCTCTGAGTTCTTAAGAAATTACTGAATTCTTGGGCCTGGCACCGTGGCCTAGCAGCTAAAGTCCTCGCCTTGAATGCACCAAGATCCCATATGGGCGCCGATTCTAATCCCGGCAGCTCCACTTCCCATCCAGCTCCCTGCTTGTGGCCTGGGAAAGCAGTTGAGGATGGTCCAAAGCCATGGCACCTTGCACCCGTGTGGGAGACCTGGAGGAGTTTCCTGGCTCCTGGCTTCGGGTCGGTGCAGCACTGGCCATTGTTCTCACTTGGGGAGTGAATCATTGGATGGCAGATCTTCCTCTCGATCTCTCCTCCTCTCTGTATATCTGACTTTGCAGTAAAAAGAAAATAAATCTTTAAAAAAAGAAATTACTGAGTTCTCTTAAAGAAATGGTTTACACGATTCCATTTCATGTCAGCTCTCAGTTAAAATATTAAAATACTGCTTATATTTCAAAAAAATCTACATATATAACTTCCACTTGATTTCTATAACATGAAGTATTCAGACAGAGCTTATCTAAAATTAAATTCCAACTATATTACTTACATGTTAATACTAAATTTATGAAGCATTTACATTACTGCATAACTCTATCCCTATGATCACCTACAGGCATGGATGCATATATAAATTATGGACTAGTACAGGAGTTACTAGAAAGAAGTGCTTTTTAAATTTTTATATGAGCTTGGACAGACCCAGATCTACCAACTGCTGTGAGCAGTCCAATTATATAAATAAACTAAAGAACAGAGCTGAATTCTCATCCTATTTCACCATCTGTATCAATCCTTACCTGAAGCCACTGCCACCTGGCCCTGCATATAAATAAGCCCCAAATTCTTTTTGACATTCAAGTTTATGTTAGATCTGGAGACTCTTGTAAACAAGCAAACTTGCTGATTCCTTTTTACAAAGGAACAGGCGAGGAAGAAATCTGTCCACACAAAAAATACAAGTCATTCATTTATTCATCATGGGATATGTTTTTCTTTCTACAGATAAAACACAGGTTGAGGTCCCTAATTTCATCAAATCTTTTCCTCTGACTTTGCATCTTGAACTTCTACATGTGTCATTCAAAGTTCAGTATCATCATAAAATGATTAAGATTTATTCCCTGAGATCAGCAAGAATGTGCCTTTGGCCACCAAATATCACACACTACCAAAATTCAAGAGGACACACAAGTAATTGGTAGTCATTTAAGTGGTGGAAAAGGCAGACACAAAAGAATTCCTGAGGGGGGAAAAAGGCATAGAATCACTTAAGTCACTAATTAAATATTTCCTGGCTATGAGCTATTACCCCTTCAACATCCCCAACCTCCTAGAAGGGAATTTCTTATTGCAAAGAAAGACGCTCTATCATGAGGGTACACACCAGGCAGCTTTGCTTTTTGCCAGCAGCCAGAGCCATCTGGATGCCTCAGTTTCCAACAAAATGCAGCCTACAGAGATGTGGGCGGTTTTTGCCCAAGAGAAGAGGGTAAAGAGAAAAACCCAGTCAAGGATGATGAAGAGAATATGGTTAACGCATCGCGTATTCAGTCAAGCGGTGTTGCTTCTCAGGCAGATTGATAGCCCAAGAGCTATGAATCCCCTACAAGCAAGAACAAGGAAAGCCTTATGGGCTGCTCACTTCACACTTCATCAGCCCAACAATGCCACAGATGAAATAGCCTCTGCATGGACCTCCCAGTAGGGGCACAAGCATGGAAAGGAACTACAGCTTCCAGAACTCCTCCTAGGCTGGAAGAAATCCCATTCTGGGAAGGAGCCAGCTTGCTGGACATGGTCATTCTTAGATTCTGTTGTTGTGCCTCTACCCACTCACTCCCCTAAAATGACACAATGGAATGACTGTATTCTCTACTGAGGACTTCCCTTCTTAAAAATAAGCAAGCAAAGGTCTCCCTAATCTGTCCCATATTCAATTGTGGACTAAGGCAGGCAGCCAGCCAGCCAGCCAGCCAACCAACCGGCCAGTTGGGTGGAGGGTAGGGGTAGGAATGCTGGGTGACAATGGGAAAGGAAGCCTAGTGGGCAAGCCAGATGTCAGACACACACATGGTGGGACGAGGCACTGCGGGGTGTGCAAGCCTCGGAAGATGGAAACATAAAAGAACATTGAGCATCCGTGGGGTGTGGCACTTCCAGAGACGTCATTTCCATGGGCATTCAGTCGCAATTCTCTTTCTTAGGTTTTCTTGAGGTAGTTCTGACAGGCTTTGGCAAGGTCTTTCAGGAAGTTAGGAACTCCATTCTGCAAAGGAAAAGATACTGTCATTTTGTGTCCTCACAGCGGTCACTATGACTACTTGAGGATGTGACAAATAGTGAACAAAGATGACTTGAAGAAGAAAAGACAATAGAACCCCTGACCAGATTTCAACAGCATGTCCTCACAGAGAATGATGAAAGGCGTAACCAGGGCACAGGTGAGACTGGATGAGATGGCCTGCTGTTACAGAGCCTTGTCTTCTATCTTGGCTTTGGGTGATAAAAAGTGAAGACATTGATAATATTTCTTGAAAAGTTTTTTTTTAAAATGAAAGAAAAAAAAACACAGGAAATGGGATTGGACTCGGGGTACTAAATGCTTCCCTCAACAAACAAGAGAATGAATTTTCTTTCTAGAATTCGAAAATGTTAAGGATTTGGTGTCAATCTTTCCCAAACATTGTGTTAGAGAATACCACTCTAAGAGTAGGTAATATCCATCTTGTTTTTTTTTAAAAGGGGAAAAAAATGAATGACTTTCCCTAATAAGACAAGACAGTTAATAGCAGAATCAGGATTCTAAATCATGTCTGCCTGACTCCAAATTGTGTGTGTGTGTGTGTGTGTGTGTGTGTGTGTGTGTGTTTCCCCAAGGAATTGGTTGCATCTTCAAGTAGGCAGGGCGACACAAAGCAGGCTGAATGACCCTCTGAATGCTGGGTTCCTGGTCCATGGCTAGTGATCTGGGCTACTCTGAAGCTACCAGGGCAGAACCGTGACTTCCCTGAGCCTTGGGTACTTTAGGTTGTCCCTAAGTGTGTCATTTGGCCTTCCTCCTCCATGTGAAGATACGAGAGGAAGACGCACTTTTGTGCCTCCCGGGAGCAGGCTGTTGTCCAGAGGAGTGACCCCTCCACCAGGCCTCTGGGCATTGGCACGGAAGGGCAGTCATTTCAAATCAACAATTCTTTGTCTTTTGTCCAGCCTCTGTCCTGGATGTTAGCAAGCCCAGTCCCTAACCAAAGTCACCCAACCAAGCTCTTCATAAAAGAGTCTCATTATGCCTGAGACAATGCATCTCTTCAGCCTGCAGGCTAAGTCAACATTTATCAAAGACACGTTCCCCCTCCTGCCTCCTGGGAGCTCACCTTGGCCGCCCAGTTAATGAGCCAGGACGGAATTTGGCCACCCGGGTTATCGAAGTAATACATGAAAACTAGAGGGGGAAAGAAAGGACAATTCAGAAAGAGGAAAAACATGGCCAAGTTACAGCAACGAAACCCTCCGTACTTTATACTTTCACATTCAGGCCCAGAAAATATAGAGAGGTAGCATATAATTCAGCTAGATTTCTGTTTCCACTGACTTGCCCAATAGTATATTTACAAAAAAAAAGCCTTTTTTTTTTTTACTGTTTATTAAACAAATGGCAAATGCTAGACACCTGGATATTTAATTATACTGAATTGTCCTGGCAATCCTAAGCAATTGGTAAAGCTGACCTCATTTTATAAATGATGAAACAGAGCTATAAATGCTAAGTGACATATCCCAGGTAACAAATCTAACAAACATCTAAACCACAGCTCAGATGCTGCCTAGCATGCAAGCTACACTGCTTTTAATGTGGCAGTGGCCCCACACTCTGCTCTGTCCATGGTGTTCCTCTCTGCGGAAAGGAGCAGGTCCTCTGTCTCTGGGTTAAGCCAGAGCTGTGTCCTCTTACACAGACCTGCCAGGTAGCTAAACCTGAAGCAAATTTTCCAACTCCCTTGTGTACTTTTTTTGTGTTCTGATTTCATCTGGGCAATGCAAGAATCAGAAAAGAATCAAGCAGGTCAGAGCCAGCCATGGATGTCATACTCCAGCCAGCTTCGTGTGGGTGAACACAGCCTCTCCCCAGGTGTTTTTGTACCGGTGGCCATCCTCTGACCTCCAAGATAAGCTCTGTGCACCTGCTGCACTTCTCCATCAGCATGGCTCCTGTGCCCCAGCTTTACCTTTGCTCCCCTTCTTGCCGTCACTCTCAATCGCCAGGCTTTGCTTATACTGCTTCACGCGGATCACACCCGGCCTTTCAGCAAGCTGAGACACACAGGTGCTCTGGGCCAGGATCACGTGGATCTTCCGCCCTTCCACGTCCAGTTCTCGCCGCTGCCGGATGTACACGTACTGCATCACGAGTCAAGGTGTGATACCGAGGCCAGCATCTCAGGCAGAAGGAAGCTCTCTGAGCTGGAAACCAATGGACGTGATTCTCTACCTCCCCCTGGGCAGGTGCTGCCATCAGTGATCACGCACCTGCCCTTTTCCCCATCTGTACTGCAAGACTGGCTGTTCCTCAGAGCACCCAGTGTTCGTGTGTGTGAGCATGCCCTGAGGATGTGAATGACCTCTTGATGCTTTTAATTACACAAGAAAAGCATTTCTTCTTCCACCAAGAAGGTGCTAGGAGATGCAAGGTTTAGTCCCTTATCAGCTGTGTGATTCTTGGTGAGTTACACAGCCTCTCTGAGAGTCAGTTTCCCTAAGTAGGAAAACACAGTAATGTCACTCATTCAGCAGGCTTGGTGGTGTCAGCGATAAATACTTGGGCAGAAGAAATGCTTGACAGACCACAGTGTTATTCTTCTTTGCCCTACTTTCACCCAAAGTTCTAATTTATGGGACTTGGTATACAGTAGATGTCAACACAAATGCCTGACTACTTTGCATACAGGTCTTCTCTGAGCTTATACTGCCTGGCTCACCAAGAAAAACAAAGCCATTTCATCTCTTGTAAATATTCACAGAATAACCATGAAGTCCACAGCTCTATTGAAACCAGTCAGTGTTAATCAGAATGACTGTTCATTTGGCCATCAGAATGTAATAAGCATCATGTGCCTTTGCACCTATAGGAGATGACTTGAGACCTTGAAAAGACCCTGGGGTAGGAATCAATACCCTCATCTAACACATGACAAAATTGAGGCCCAGAAAGGCAAAGAAACTTGCCCAAGGTCACATAGTCAGCAGAAATGATAGAACCTGAATTTGATCCCAGATCGGACTCTAAAACCTACCCATCACATCGTAGCTAGATGGGGCTCAAATCTTGAAGGTGTTAAAGAGGCATTGAAAATCATGCTAGAAGCAGACAGAAGCCTAATGCAATTACAAGGTGCAACACGATTACATTTACTACAACACAAGGACAATGCCAGCCCCATGTCTATGTAACCCCTCCAGAGACCATGTAGACCCTCCCATCACTGCACCCCCACATGTGCAGGATATGACTCCACCCTCCCAGAACTGATGAGTGGAGTCCTCACATGGTTCAGGAAAGAGATGGCATTGTTCTAGCTCTGGCTTTCCCTTCTCCCAAGCTTTTTATTTCTCTCTCGCTTTTAACCCTCATTTTAACATGTCTCTTCTTCCTCCTCCTCTTTCTTCTCCTTCTCCATTGATTGTCCTTCTGCTTCTTCTTCTTTCTTAAGATTTACTTACTTTTATTTGAAAGGCAGAGGTAGAGGGAAGAAGGCAAGAAAGAGATCTTCTGTCCTCTGCTTCACTTTTCAAGTGGCTGCAACAGCCAGAGCTGGCCTGGTCTGAAGCCAGGAACCAGGAGCTTTTTCTAAGTGTCCCATCTGGGTGCAGGAGACCAAGCACTTGGGCCATTCTTCACTGCTTTTACAGGCCTTAAGGAGGGATTTGGATTGAAAGTGGAGCTGCTGGGACTTGAACCAGCACCTAGGTGGGATGTTGATACTGCAGGCAGAGGTTTAACCTGATATGCTGTGGCTCCAGTGCCTCACTTTTTTCTTATAGCCAGTACTGTCATTGTTCCACTCTCTCCACAGCTGACATGAGTTATCACCTGACACCTCAATGAGGAAACATTGCTTTGACATACAGATTAAAGATTAGTGGAATGGTTTTAAAGGATTGGCACTGCCATGAAGTCTACAAGTGGAGAAGTGCCAGTTCTCTGAGGCCCAGAGAAGGGAATGGCCTTTTTCCAAAGTCACAAAGCAAAATAGGGAATGTGTGTAGACTTAACCTGGGATCTTTAGCTTTAAAACTAATGTTCTTTCCTATTAAAGTCCCTTCTGTTCTCAAGAATAGCAACCTTACTGGAGAAATCTATACACAATGACATTTCAGTCCCTGACAGGCCTATAAGATGGTTACAGAGACAAACTCCAAATGCGTGGCCAGCATCGTGGTGCAGTGTGTAAAGCCATCACCTGTGACTCTGGCATCCCATATGGGTGTCAGTTAAAGTCCTGGCTGTTCCACCTCTGATCCAGTTCCCTGATAATATACCTGGGAAAGTGGCACAAGATGTCCCACATGGTTAGGTCCCTGCACCCATGTGGGAAATCCAGAAGCTCCTAGCTACTGACTTTGGCCCTGCCCTGGTTGTGGCAGCCATTTGGAGAGTTGAACCAGTGGGTGGAAGTTCTCTTTCTCTCTTCTGTAATTCCATCTTTCAAATAAATAAAATACATGTTTTTTTTTTAAAGGTTCTTATTGCTTAGTGCTAGTGCAGCCTTTATAGGATTGTTTAAGATTGCTGCGCACTTAAATAACAGACTGATGGAATCATCACTCCTTCTGAAGGACTATACTATTGTGACAATATGAGGAAAATCAGTTGGGAGATGTGATGTTTTTAGGAAGGAATCCAACTCTACAGAATTGCACCATAAAATTCAAAATAAAATTAAAAAAAAAAAGACTGCCATGCAACATGTTATTCATGTGTCTGTGGTGATGCTTGTGTAAAGAAACCCACTACTCTGCCAGTAGCGTAAAGGATAGCATCTACAATGACATATGGGAGATCATGCTTGATGCAGCCTTCTACACGTCATGATTGCTAGCCCCAGAATGCATCGAGAGACCACCTCCTATGACTGGCCTAGACTAGGCCGTGTGGGTGTGTGCAAGTACACCCAAGGATGTTCCCACGGTACAGAAATCTCCCGGCACACTTCTCAGAAGGTATTTCCACTGTCAGGCAACAAACAATTGTCTACATATAAAGACAGGGAAATTCATGTCAGGACTATGTATAATCAGAAAACGAAACAGAACTTCCAGGAGACCCACCTGTCCTCTCCTGAGTACCTAGGCCATGAGGTTTGAGGAGTGAAGCCGTGCCCTGCTCAGGATTACCAACAGCTCGAGGGGATCTGCCACCTGCCTCTGCCACCCTCTAGTGCTGTGAACCCAGGCAAAGTCCTGAACTTCTCCTGCTTCCATTTCTTTAACAGCTAAGGGAAACAGGTGTGGGGAGAATTAAGGAACACCACAGACAACACCAAGGATGAACTAATCGAAGATCTTTGAAATGGAAACTGTGTCTACACAGATGAGCAGCGTGTGGATTTGTGCCAAGAAACAATCTCTCAAGGTGTTTGCTGTAAATCTAGCAGGGGTCAAAGGCAGTTACAAACACTTAGAAAAACATACCTACATCCCCACTTCATTTTTCCAGAGACGATTTAAAGACATGAGGATTTACACAAGCTAAAAAAGGTCTCCATGAATATCAAATTCAATGGCTTCAAGCATTTTTTAATTACTATTCCACAAGAGGCTTTCTTGGGAAGATCTTCTACGGGAAATTCAACTGTAAAACACTCAACTGCTACCATGGAAGAGCATAGTGAAGAAGTCAAAACTGCCCTACTCAGTACCTTACTCCATCCTGCCCAACAACAAATTACTTCCTCACCTCCCCAGGTTAGTCTAAAGGGGACTTCTTAGAACGTTGGAGTGCCAGCTGAAACTCCCCACTCTTTTTCATGCCACAGTTTCATCTCCTAAACAAGGAAGTGAGGGAGAGAGGAGCTCACATCCAAGCCCCAGAGCTAAGGAGGGATGGCCAGAGAGGAGCCTGATAAGGTAGGTAGGTATAGGGAGAGCTGAGTGCTGGTGCCTGCCCTAAACACCTGCAGGCCTTTGTCATCTCAACCCTTGGGAGTCCCACTCCTCCCCTGGAGACTGAGGCAGCTTTACTAAGAAATCCTCATAAAGAATTCCCGTGAGGTCTCCAATTCTTTAAGTCCTAGACACATTCTCCGGAAAGTATGAACTGCTTGCTCTTCAGTGTCCACAGTTAGGGATGCTTCATGTGCTCAGGCCCAGATAACCCATTCTGGGATTTTTGAATGCCACACAAGAATCAACAGCTTTCCAGATGCTTCAGCAAAAATCAAAGGACGATGTTGGCCCCATCTTCTGGGAAACCAGCTCAAGCATCCTTGTACTGGGTGATGGAGAGTACAATACAGAGGGCTGTGGAATAACACACTTTGTGGAAAGGATACATCTCTGTTGGACATGGGGAAAGGGTACTTCACCTCCCAGTAGACCACGGTCTCTCCACTGCAGTCATTCTCATAGAGTTCTAAAGGAGAAAAAAAAAGGCATTAATGCTTCTGGAAACTTCCCTGGCTTCAAAGAACAAGCTGCCCACATAGGACAACCTTAGGGGATGATAAACCACTAACCCCCCAAGGCGTAGAATCTTCCTTTTGTAAAGTCAGGAAGATCAATTGCCACCAAAACCTTGCTGGCAATCCAGAAGATGGGAAAACACAGCAAAAATAAACAAATGTACCAAAGCTCATGGACTGTATTAACACCAACAAGGTTTCAGAGGACAGTGAAACAAAATCCAGCATCAAAGAAACTGTCACAAGTTTTAAAATCAGGGTGACCACCAGATGTCACTAGAGCACCGGTAGTTTTGCTTCAGCAACTCCCCCTCCGCGTTTCTTGACACTCTACAATTAGCCTGAGACTGAGAGGGTCTCCCAACCTAGACTGTTCAATGGGTACCGAAGCTTCTGCAGCTTTTCACACAGTCCTTAATACTAGTTCCATAATGCTACAACATGGCGGCCAGATGTTGGAGGCACCATAGTAAAGGATCTCCTTAGGCACTGTCTTGACTGCTGTAGTAGCTAGCCCTCCTGAGTGAGAGGGAGTTAGCTTTCAACAAAAAAAAACATTGATGGACTGATAAAATGGCAAGCCTTTTATTGCGGAGATGGAGTTAGCTTTCAACAACAACAAAAAACACTGATGGATTGATGAAATGGCCAGCCTTTCATTGCCATAGCAGGTACACAATCGCCTTCGAGAGAAGGGGAGGAACGGACGCATGGCTCCAGTTGCCTGCTCTAGGTTGATTTTCCCTTCTCCCATCAGCATCTCAATTTTCCTTCAGGGAATCACCATCCTCTAGATTTAAGCAATAATTGCAGAGCTTGGTACCATCTGTAATTAATTCACAGATGGTGCTCTTGACCAGGGCTCAGTTTGCTTCTCCAGCACAAATAGACAAAAAGTGGCTAAGGTTCTTAAACACTCATTATACCCAGGAGGACCAACATGAGGTTTACGGTTGTGGGATGTTCCATCAAAGCCAAATGGTGTTCCTCTCTAGACTAGACAACTTAGTACAAGTTGTTGTTACTGGTAGGACATAGTAGAGACACCCCTAAAATCAGATGTCTTCATGGTCAACAACAACAACAACAAAACAAACAAAAAAAAGGTACCCTACTTGTTGTCTCTGCTTCTTCTCAGATGGAAGCCATGTGTGCACCGTATTGGCACAGTAAGACTGCTTCCTTGGACAGATGGGCATCCTAATGCCCCCAAAGCAGAAAGGAGGTTTGAAAACCTAGTTACCCAGACTCATGATGCATAGCCACAGAACATAAGCTTGTGTTCCAGGCTCAGCCAGTGAGAGGCCCAGTTCTGATAGTCCAGCTGCCATCGCGAGGAGTCTTTTCCCTCTGGACTTAGTCGTATGGCCAGAACATATGCCTGGATCGTAGGGTGGACATCTTTGCTCTTCAGTGAGAATCTGTCCAAGAACTAGTTGACTGCAGAGGAAGAGGGTCCAGAGACGCAGAAAGAAACATTCTCGAGGAAATTACAGGAGTTCCCAAGTGCAGTTGTTCTGGAACACAGAAGTTCCTGCACTTTTCTATGCCATGTGCAGACAAACTCTTTGTTCCCTTCTGATAGGCTCTTCAGTTGGCTTTTAGTGACAACCAACAGTCCTAACTTTAGACTTGATGCTTTTTGAGCACTCTCCCAGCCAGTTTCTATTCCAGTCTGATAGAGATGGCAGAGGTCATTCCAAGTTCTAGCTAGAACCGCATTTAATGTATTTCCCATCTCTGCATCACTAACAGGGTCATAGCGGAGGCTGGGTGGCCACGCTCAGCTCTCAGGGGTCTGGAACCTCCTCTTGTCCTACCTCTGCCATCTCAGTAGTACCTAGAGAATAGACAAGACTAGGGCAGGCTGAGCTACTCCAAAATATTGGTAATGTTTCAGCACACTGTGACCTGCCTTTCCTAATTCATTAATGCTGCTTCTTGGGTCCAGGATGTCCTTCATTCCATTCACTTCATCAGCCCTTCAACTATGAATATTCTTATCTATCTAGCAAACTTTCTTCCAACTTCCAAAACAAACCTCAGACACCATTTCCTAGAAGCCTTCCAGGACTATCCAAGCACATGGGAAGAAAATACAAGAGGAAAGGTGTAGTAGCCCTGGAAGTAAACTCTAGATTGTGCCCAAGAATATGTTAGCAGTGAGTACTAAAAATAGCAAAGGCACTTATCAGAGCCACATTTAAAATACTTGAAGAGAGTTGGTGTGGCACAGTAGATTAGGCCACCCTTTACCTAGCTGAAGTTCTGGATACTCTGTATCTCCCATTCAACTTCCTGTTAATGTGCAGCCCAGGAGGCAGCAAATCATGGCTCAAGTAAGGAAAAGTATCTGCTACCCATGTGGGAAAGACCTGGCTTTAAGGAAATTTGGAGATTGAACTTTTTCTGTCTCTCTCCCTCTCTCTCTCTCTCTCTGCGTGTTTATGTCTTCCTACTCTGACTTTTAAATAGACAAAATAAAATTTTAAAACACATGTCAAAATTTAAAAGGAAACACAATTTAGTAGAAATTAACTGTTCGTCTCTCCCGGTAGAATAAATAAGAATAGATTCTACTGTCTACTGATTTTTTTTTCTTTTATTTATGTTTATTGGAAAGGCAGATTTACAGAGAGAAAGAGAGACAGAAAGAAAGATCTTCCATCTGCTGGTTCGCTACTCAAGTGGCTGCAACGGCCAGAGCTGAGCCAATCTGAAATCAGGAGCCAGGAGCTTCTTCCAAGTCTCCCTCATGGGTGTAGGGTCCCAAGGCTTTGGGTCATCCTCCACTGCTTTCCCAGGCCACAAGCAGGGAGCAGGATGGGAAGTGGGGCAGCTGGGACACAAACTAGCACCCATATGGGATCCCAGTGCCACACAATGTGAGAATTTAGCCACTAGTCCATCACATGGGGTCCTGCCTACCAATTTTTAAAAAATAGACATTACTCACCTTTAACATACTGGTCCCACTGCTTTCTGTAGTCTAAGTCCATGTAGACATCTGCAAACAGAGCTGGTGCACAATCCTCCAAAACACCAAAGACCTTATACTTGTAAAGTCCACTCTGCTGTAGAAACAGAACAGGGAGAAACCATCATCTCTGGGTTCCTATGTTGGAAGAAATCTGATTGCACACCCGGTTGAAAACATCCAACCTCCTCTGTGGTCTTGGTGGTACAATGGCAACAAAGTAAATGAGGGCCCTGCTCTCACAGTTCTTGTACTATTCAGGTAGGTGTTAGTCGTGGGGATAGCTTTAAGCACCTTTCAAGTGATCTAAATTTGGACAGAATAAGGATTACATGATAAACTATACCCTTGGTAGGAGGTTTCTATGTAATCATGTGGTCAAGGAATGCTACAAAGAAGGGAGGGAGGAGCAACAATTAAAAAAAAAAGAGTGTTTTGTTATAATGTTGAGGAGCCAATAATAGGGAGATAGCGAAAGTCCATTCCTAGCAGAAAGAAGTTCCTGACATGTAAGAATAGGTATGCCTAAAGAACTTGGAGCCCATAGAATTCTGCATGGGAGAAAGAGTGGTGGGAATTGAGGTTAAAGAGATTGTGGGAATACGGACACTGATGGGCTTAATAAACATAGTAACAGTTAAAGACATTGTTCTTGGGGAAGGTGTTTGTCCTACCAGTCAAGATGCCAGTTGGGATGCCAACGTCCCATATCAGAGTACCAAGGTTCAAAGCTCTGACTTTGCTTCTGATTCCAGCTTCCTGCTAAACATCCTGGAATGCAGCAGATGCTTGGCTCAAGCAGTCTTCTAGCTGCCACTCACATGGGAGACTTGGACTGGCTTTCCATTTTCTGGCTCTGGCATCCCTAGGCAGGCATCTAGGGAGTGAACAGTAGATGGGAGCTCTCTATTTCCCCCCGTTTCCCCCTTTCTCTCTGCCTCTCAAATTAATATATATATACACACACATATATATACATATATATATGTATACACTCTTATAATGATGGAAAACTGGTGGATGACTAAACAGGAATTCTATTTAGAAATGACAAAAATCTGATTAATAGTTTCACTAAAGATCATTGTTGCTGCTTCGCAGAAAACAGATCACAAGCAAACAAAGAGCTGTGCTAAAACAAACACAGTGTACCATCCACATAAGAGATGATGCTGATTTGAACAGGGAGGCAATGAGAATGGAAAGAAAAAGTAATTTGGGAATATAGTGTGGAGATAAAGTCCTCAAAGACGACTGACACATTGGCTGTTGGGGAAGGGAAAGCAGAGAATCAAGGACAGCTCTTTGATCTTTGCTTGACCAATCAAGTGAATGAGTCTCACTTCTTGTGATGGAGAAAATTCCGAGAAGTGGTGATGTGTAGGCTATAGAGGTAATCACGAGTATTACTTAAGGCTGACACGCTCATTAAACATCCAAAGAGGACCGTCCTGTAGGCAGCGCCAGTCCTAAAGAAAGGTTAGCTTTTAAATATCCATGGGACATAAGGAAACTCAACACACTATTTTGATCAGTTTCAGGACAGACAAGAGTTTTCAACAAGTGTTTCTTTTTGACTATGTATAACGGTCTTGAAAGGGGAAGAAACATCTGCCTTGAATTACATTGGTCCTTTTATTTAGAAAAAGACCATTTCTAGATTCCAAGCACAAGAGTTTCCTTGTTTTCCTGCGTAGCCATATCCTGGCGTGTGAGGATTCTGGACTAGGCTTCACTCCACTGCACACTTCATTCTCTGTACCATGGCAACTTAAAATTTGACTCTTCCCTTTCCTAAGCCTCTGTGGTTAAGATGAAAGCAATGATTCTTAGGTTAATTCTAAAACTAAAGGAAACAAAGGCAGAGCTTTTAGATGAACCATTGTTTTGATGTGTTAGCAAAGTGTTAATGACCATGCATTCATGCACGAAATCATGTCCCTAAACTCCATGTTACACACAGTGAATCTTCCTGGAGACTTTCCAATTCAAAAAATAAAATAATTCTAAAAATATAAAATAAAGTAGATGATATTCTCTCTTTTCCAGGTTAAAGAACTTAAGGTTTCAAACTAACATAACACACAATTTTAGGGAAACCAGTATCTACAGCGTAGCTGCTCTAAGCTGGATTCTGTGCTTGGTGATGGATAGTTGCAGTAATCCTTTCATGTAAGCATGATTATCTTCACTTCATATATAAAAAGAAAATGGAAATTGAGGAGGAAGGGACCTATGGTTAGGAAATTTGCTGCTAATATCATTAATTTTGTCCAAATATCAAACTATTCTACTTTCAACAATGATTAATATAAACACATGAAAAAGTTGTACAATTTGCTTGCAGTAATATTTATAATGTACTTTAAGATATATATATATATATATATTGCCAAGAGTATACTTATTTATCCTAAACAGAATAAACCTGGAAAGAGCTGATACTCAGTTACATGTAAAAAACACCAAAAGGCAACACTCAGTCAAGTGACGGTGTTGGTCTGCGTTTCCATCACTAATCGCAGCACGGTCTTGATGAATCATGTTCCTTTAATGCTGTGAATCGAGTGTGGATTTAGTTCTCTCTGCCTCTCAGAGAAGGGCTCATTTCTATTCCTCAGGGGGACAGGACGCCTCCCCCACATGAGTCTGTGGAAGCCAGCCAGGCTCAGCCACTCTATGGCAAGGAATCAACTGCCATGGTATGAAAAGGACGCCCTTTCACCAAAGCCAAGCAGTTCTAACAGCCCCAGTTGAAGCTGCAGCTGCTATGGGATTGTCCCAAGAAGAAGGCATCCGACCGGATCTGCTTTACTATTTGAGATGTCGCTAAGAAAAAGGCAGGACTGCAGACACTAGATGGAGTAAGGATCGTAAGTACAGTCCGTAGGTGTTGAACACTTCCTGGAGGGCCAGGCCCTGAACAGAGTGCTTGATAGAGATGGTCCTACTTAGGCCACATAGTGATGAGGTGAGGAATGAGCCATCAGTAGTCAGGGAAACAGGCTTATGGTTAAGAAATGTCCCGAAAAGGCTAATTTATAAAGTTAAAACTTCCATTTGGTTTTGTGCCTGATTCTGCCACCCCTTGTTTTCTTTCTTTTTTTTCTTAAAGATTTATTTATTTTTATTGGAAAGTCAGATATACAGAGAGGAGGAGAGACACAGAGAAAGAGCTTCTGTCCATTGATTCACTCCCCAAGTGGCTGCAATGGCTGGAGCTGAGCTAATCCAAAGCCAGGAGCCAGGGATCTCTTCCGGATCTCCCACCTCCAGGCAGTCCTTTCTCACAGTGCCAGGCATAGAGAACTAAAAACTCGGTATGTTAGCCAGATCTTTTCCGTCTCATATTGACTTTGTCTAAATCAAAGCTGGGAACCTCCCTGTGCCAGTCTCACACTGCCTAGGGCCTGTTCAGTGCTGCCTGGCACTGTGACCACACAGCCCAAAGTTTCTGCGGGCCCTGACTGCAGATCTCAGAGGAAGCTTTTCCAAGTCACTCACGGCCCTCGACCAAGGGGGCAGCCACTCAGGCCTGCTTGGAGGACCACGTAGATTCCCACGTGGCCACTTGTTTCAAAATCAGAGGAGGCGATGTGACAACAGAAACTCCTTTGGTTTTCAGATAGTTTGTTCCTCACTGTCACCTTTCGCTTCCATGGCTTCTCATGTCTAGGCGGACTCCCAGCTTCCTGTCTGCGCCTCTCCATGCCAACACTGTCTCAGTGACACCCTCTCAAACCGCAGTCACCGGACCAGCAGCTTCAGCACCACTCCACAAGTGATGTTTACATGCAAGCTTTATAATTTCAAATAAGTAAAACGAACAAACAAAAAAAGCTGAAGAGACAGAATCACGCTCCAGTAGCCATGGGGGCCTTACACTCAGGATGCCCAGTGGATACCAAAATCTGTGTATACTCAACTTCTTTTATAGGAAATGGCATAGCATCTGCAACACACTACACACACACCTGAAATAATCCTGTATAGGTTAAAACATCTTTAGATTACTGTCATAGTACATGGGGAAACATAAATGCTATGAAAGAGTTGTTATGGTTAAGTAATAATAATAATAATTAAGGGAGTCCGTGTATGCTTAGTACAGATGAATTTTTTTTCCCAATATGTGCAATCTGAGCGTAATGGGGTCCACTATTGTGAAATCCATGGATACAGGGAACTGACAATATTTACAAACTCAAGCTCCATTCCCGATCCACTGCATCAGATTCTCTGGGAGAAGGGCTTCAACTGCATGTTCACCGACCTTACAGGTAATTTCAATGTACACTCCTGTCTGAGACAATTTTGCAACATATCATCTTACTGAATCCAGTCCAAAACTCTGAGAGGGACGTATTGCCCTTGTTTCTTAACTGAGGAAGCCGAGCTTTCAAAATGAAGAACGGATCGACCTCACGTAGCCTGTAAGTGGGGACTTGGCTACGTTCCTGTGAGGTTGACATTCTGAGTGTTCTGGAACATGAGGTGAGCCAAGCCTGGCCCAGGGGCTAGTACTCAGTGCTCACTGAGCCTTGGCAGTTTAGGAGCCCACATACTCATCTGAATCTCCTGGGACGTTATAATGCTCAGAAAACACACACACACACACACACACACACACACACACACACACACACACTTTATTGAGAAGGATCTGGAATACACACAAAAGGGGAGAGAACAAAACCATCAATTTCCAAAGATCACCCAAGGCCATGGTAAGCCAACTAAACCTGAATCCCTCAGGTAAGGCTCCCAGGGGTTTTGAATACACTTGAGTTTTGAGACTCTGGTACATCTTTCCTGCAGATGTCTGCATGATTCAGTCTCTTGGTTCTCCTATATGTCCACCCAAATACTACTCTGGAAGGGGCTTTCCACACATCCTTCTCTGAAGTACATCAGCAGGGAGTGAGTGGGCTTTTAGCCTCTAAGACGCATGCATCCTCCATTGGATTACCTCGGTTCTATTCCCAACCCTGCCTCTTGACTCTAGCTTGTTACTAATGCTGGCTGAGACAGGAGTAGTTATGGCTCAAGCAGTTGGTTCCTACCACCTGCATGGATGATCTAGAGTGCATTACTGACTCCCGTCTTTAGCCCTGGCCTAACATCAGCTGTTGTGGGCATTTAGGGAATGACTTCGTGCATGGTAGCCACACACCTCTCCCTCTCAAATAAACAAGTCTTTAAAAAATTAAAACAGATGTTATCACATCACCGCTGGATACTACTGCCATACCATTTCTGTAGTCCTTTATTCTATTTAATTATTCTTATAGTGTTTTCAACCAACATTTACTACAATATGGTGGGCTGAGTCTCATCAATGAATATGACTAACATTCAATGATATCTCAGCCCAATGTCCTCATTTGGCATATACCTCTAATGTCTTAGTGACAGCATGTAAGAGGTAGTAGACAAATATCTCTTGAATGAATAAATAAGTGTGGAATGCACCTGAGATTTTTAACTCAGAATGACATGATGCATTGCCATGTGCTTCCCACAGTGCCACATGTTAGCCCTGGCCTAGTTTGCTTAGCCCCAAGGAGAATATAGCTGTTCCCTTGAAGGACGTTTTACACTTGACACTGAGTTTATCAAAGAAGACTAATTCATGCTAGTTACTAGTCATGAATTCTTACGTGGCTCATTCTATATCCAGCATCTTATTTCCATCAATAAATACAAATTTAAAAGTCCATTCTTGCCTATTTGTCTCCTATGTTTAAGGAAGAATGAAAACGTCTATGTGACAGCATTTTCTAAAAATTATAGCATTGTGAAAAGGTAAAGTATCACCATTATAACATGGGAAAGAAACAGAAGGAACTAGAATAGGCAATAAAAGAAAAAGTCAAAAAATTATGTTGTTGCTAAGAATGGTTTTTGAGAAAATGTTCTAAGTATTCACTTTGTAATACAACAGAAATAGAAAAAACAAAAAATACATCAGGGCACTGCACATCAAAAGCCCCCACTTGTCCAACAACTGGACTCAGAATCATTTGTCTATGAGTTTAAAAAATGTTTAAATGTAATTTATTTGTTACATTGCAACTCTTTCAAATGCCTCTGAACTTATTTCAGTCTTCTCAAAATGTAATAATTTATGTCAGAATCATTCAGATCATGATCACAAGTTTTTTTTTTTTCTATCTTTGTCTCATGACATGTTGAATGAGAGCCCAGGCTCAGGCTGGCCAGCTCTAATGCTAAGTGTAAGAAGCAAAGTGAGAAGCAAGCCACTACTACCTCAACGGTGCATGGCAGCCAGAGACCAATGCACAGGCAGGGCCTACAGTACCCACAGCTTCATAACCAAGTTACTAGAAACTTCAGGAGAACACTGCGTCTCAGACTGATAGCTTTGCCTTGGGCCTATCACAGACCATTAATGCAAGGTTTTGGGTGGAGTAGTTAATTTCAATGAACTTAGTCTTTCCTTTTCTTGGTTTCCATACAAGGATAGTATATTATCAGAGGGTAGATGTGCACACAATACTCGCAAAATATGTGGGCAGGCAGTGTGGCCCAAAACGAAGAGCTGCTGCATGGGACACGCATATTCCATATTGGAGTGCCTGGTTCAAGCCCCAGTTACTCCACTTCCAATCCAGTTTCCTACTCAAGCATTTGGGAGGCAGCAGATAATGGTTCAAGTACTCAAGTCCCAACTACCCTCATGGGAGACACTGATTGACTTGTAGGTTCCTCATTCCAGCCAGACCTAACCCTGGCTGTTGCAGGCAGTTAGGGAATGAACCAGCAGATAGAAGCTCTCTCCTTTTCTCTCTCACTGTTTGAAAAGTAGATTAAAATAAATAAATGAATGCTTTAGAACTACCTTCAAAACATGTAGTAACTGGATGATGGAAAAGCATGCAATAAGTGTTAGCTAATACCATGCTTATCATTATGAACTCCTCTATTAATAGGTCATTGAGGAAGCAGCAATCACCCCACAGATTCTTTCAGATGCATGATCAGGCTTGATGTGCAGGAGAGGGGGGAGGAGACAAGTGAAAGGCCAAGAAACTGGTAGAGCAATCCCTGCAGTTCTAGGTGGCAGGTGCTGGGAACCCAAAGCAGCAAATGAAAAGGAAAGGGAAGAGAATGGATCAGATGTCAGACAGATATAGCTGAGCAGTTGAGTCAACAAAACCCCAGCAATGTCTTACCGTGGCTAATAGAAAAATGGAACTTGGCCCAGTGCCATGGCCTAGCAACTAAAGTCCTTGCCTTGAACGTGCTGAGATCCCATATGAGTGCCAGGACTAATCCTAGCAGCTCCACTTCTCATCCAGATCCCTGCTTGTGGCCTGGGAAAGCAGTTGAGGACATCCCAAAGCCTTGGGACCCTGCACCCACGTGGGAGATCCAGAAGAGGCTCCTGGCTCCTGGCTTTGGATAGGGGCAGCACCAACCATTGAGGCCGCTTGGGGAGTGAATCATCCAACGGAGGATCTTTGTCTCTGTCTCTCCTTCTCTCTATATATACCTGACTTTGCAACAAAAATAAACCTGTTTTTTAAAAAAAGAAAAATGGAATTGACAGAAGATAACATGTCCATTTGCACCCCAATATGCCTGTGTTACACTCAGAAACTCACTCTGCCTGTCGGACACCGCCGACTTCGTGTTCGTTTGGTTCTACCCAATGGGACCGTTTTCACAGGAGATATCCAGAAAGTGTTGAGTAACTGCCAATATTTCATTTCAACAAGGGCAGTGAGGAGACACATCTTTCTCTGGATCCACTGGAGAACAATCAGTAAAACTCCTGGAAGTTCTTCACATCCTCAAGAGATTTAGGTAAAGTCCATCACCAAGGTGACAATCATTATTAAGAAATTAACATCCCTGAAATGGCACGGTCCTGGTATAGTTTGCATATTGTGGGTCAGGACAACAGTGCCTACCAACATATAATACCTTTACTTAAGGGAAATAAAGTAAATAAAAAGTAACTCAAACAGCTCTACCCAGTCCCACCATCTGCTCTGCTCTGACAGAGAAGCCTGCCCTATTAATTCATAAAAGTTCAAATCAGCATGCCCCACTGTCCCTGTCACTGTAGGAGGGGGAGATGGGTGATGCGCAAAGCAAATTTGTATGCATTTCTTCATAATCTCCATACATCATTCACCTGGAGGCACCTTTCTCAGCTTCCGTGATATTGCAATCTAGGGGTGGGTAATGCTTCACGGCAGGCCGCTGAGTACTGCAGAGTTCCAGAACACACTCAAGACTCCACGCACAACTGAGAAATTTGATGTCAACCTCCTAACAACATGAGATAGGGTTTCCATTCCTGGGCAACAGATGAGCAAATTCAAACTACCGAAAACACCTGCTCTCCACTTTAAAATATAAAAACACTGTACTTGACATAAACTGAAATGCAATAGCAACCACTAAGAAAACACCTCCCCAAGGAGACCTTTTATTCTCTGAATTCTCCCTCAGCCTTAACTCGGTCTGGCCCCTTTGGAAAGCAGCCTCCAACCCCCACCCTGGACTTTTTCTTGCATCAATGATGTCTGAAGTTGCGCCAGTGAACCCCAGGCGTTCTCCTTGCTGGAACGCTACACGAACCTGGCTCTAGGCCAGGAAGCATGGATTTCACTCACATTACCTGGGGCTGTTAACCTACTTCCCTGTGACAGGTTGGCCTCCCACGAGAAGCCTGGGCCAATGTTGCCTAACTGACTGCCCACCCCCTTGGATCGGAACCCCAACCCCCCAGGAATGCTTCATAACCAACTCTTCCTCCTCCACCTTCAGTTAACCATCCTGCCTGAACTTTCAGATCAAGTTTAAGAGCAATTCAGAAGTACTAAAATGACTAAAGATTACACAAGGTCCCTTCCCAGACACACACTCACACAGTTTCCCATACATACACAGTCGCCCTGCACATCCAACTATTGTAAAGTTCTCCTTTCTGCCTGTATTCTGGCCCTAAGAGACTGCACCTCCCTGGGGCCACATACTGGGAAATATGCCTCCCTCACAGGCATGATGTGCAAGGCCTAGGATCAGCCTAGATGCATTTTAACTCTGTCATTAGCTTCAAACTACTTCCCCAGTGGAGTCTGACCTGACTCTGAACTCCCATAACTTCCCAGCTTCCTCTGGATCTTCCTGGGGCAAAGTCATTGGGAGGCACCCACCGACTCCCTGCACTGTGGAAGGCCCAGCCCAACCCGGTCCCCTCCTCAGCTGCAGCCCCGCATTCACAGCGGGAAGACTGGCCCCGGTGCGTCCTTCAGCGGGCCGGCCGCTACCTGGTCCAACAGCCGGTAGATGCTGATTCCCAAGGTCTCCACCAGCAGCTGCCAGTCGGCCCCGGCCAGCGCCGGCTCCTGGAGCTCGGCGCAAGCTTCCAGGAATTCCTCTTCCGTGAAGCCGCCCGCTATCGGATTCATTATTCCACGGCCGGGGGTGTTCGCCTGGACTGCAGCGAGGACAGGCTTGGTGTGGACTCGGGGGCGGGGCGATGAGGGAGGTCCCGGTGGGATTGGCAGGGAGCAGAGGAGAAGGTGGGATTTACGGAGTAAGGAAGGTGGCCTGGAGGGGCGGGGCCAGGGGTGGGCCTTAAGGCAGGCGGAGCAAATGGTGTGAGGGTGAGAAAGAGACACACAGGACTTGATGCGGAGAAAAATAAGCAGAGGTTAGAGGGGTGGGAAGATTTCTAGAGGAAAGGGGAGAAAGAAATAGAAGGTAGTGATAGCAACTTAGAGACTGCTCATCAACATGCCACCCCATACTCCTCCCTTCATTCACCTCCTCCAACCCTTCTGAAGAAAGGAGAAAGTCTGTAGACTCAGGAGGTGAGATGGGCAATGCAGAAATATTTCACAGTCCTAAGGCTCAGATGCTAGACCTGTGTGCCAAGGCACCTTGGCTTTTCCCTGCGGTGGATTATAAAACAGTTCAAAGAAGGGAGTCATGAGATTCAACAAGAACAGCCAGAAGGGTTCATAGCACAGAAATCTACCCCATACTGAATCTACAAAGTCATTTCCCACTCCAGAGAGTGGGCAAATACCTGACGGATGTCTTGAAACCCACTCTAGATTTCTGTGGCTTGCATAATTCAGATCTCTGCGCAGTTGGAAGCTTCGTGCACGGCAAAGATCCCTTTGTTCCCTTGTAGTCCCTTGGGTGTTACTCCATTTCTCCCCAGCAGACTGCACCTGGCCCCGAATAAAGTATAGTTTCAACATCCAAATGATGCAACAGCTTCTTGGGTGCCAATAAACTCTGGAAACCCATTATTCCTAATATGTAAAATGGGTCAAAAATAGTGCTACCTGTGACAGTTGGGAAGGGGATGGGACATCAGACATTTTGCACCATTCCTATCAAAGGATGTTCAGGAAAAAACGCCCACTCCGTTTACATTATTCTCCACAGATGCTTCTGCTTATGTACTTGGGATAAAGTTGTTGGCAATTTCTGCATTTATGCCAAGAAGGGAAGCATGGTTAAACTTGGCAAGTTGCTTAGAAACAGCAGAGATGTTACTGCTTTATTCAATTCATGGCTGATTCTCCACTGTTTTATAAAAGTGAAAAAAATAAAGTGATATTTTCCTAGACTTACTGCATGAAAGATTAGAAACATACATTCCTGCTGTCTGTCATAATGTCTTGCTTATTTAAAAGCAAGTTCTTCAATGTTTAAAAAAAGCAGTAGCATCAAAAACTATTGATGGCAAAGTATTTTCACTTATCTACAAGTAATTCCCATTAGTGTATGCTTTAAGCAAGCTGTACCTTTTTACTTTGTAGCAAGAGATTAATGAAGATGTGCCGGAGAGCAATACATGCATAAGACATAAGATCTAAGGAAAAAACAAATTACATTTATTGTGTATCTTTTAAAATCTTTTTTTAAAAAATATTTTTACTTGAAAGGCACATTTACAGAGAGGAGAGACAGAGAAAGATATTCCATCCGGCATCTTCCAGGTCTCCACAAGGGTGCAGAGGCCCAAGCATTTGGGCCATCCTCCACTTCCTTCCCAGGCCACAAGCAGGGAGCTGGATAGGGATTAGCCAGGACACAAACTGGTGCCTATATAGGACGCCAGTGCTTGCAGGTAAAAACCAGCCTGTTAAGCCACCATGCTGGCCCTATATTGTATATCTTTTAAAGTATGTTCACTATAGAACTCAAGCAGGAAAAACATCCTCCAGATACTTTAGTTGATGTTGTGATTTAGACCTAAATTTATTCCATTAACAACTAGCAACAAATTCATGGTAGCAATAGGTTTATTTTGTGTGGTCTCTAAGAGGTAGAAAGGGCTTAGAAAAGGATTTAGAAAGCCTTTCTTGAGGATTTGTGTGTATTGTGAGAAAATGTATCTGGAGAAACTTTTGGAAATGTGTCAGTGGAAACTCCTGACCTCAAACATAGAAAGGCTGGGTACAACACAGGCCACAAATAGCTGCAGACATGTCGAGTCCCTGAACGTGAAGAAAGGGTACACCAGGTTTCAGAAAGAGAAGAGAGCCAGAAGAAACCAGAAAACCCCCATCCCCTAAACTATGGAAGCCTTAAGGACGCCCCTGCTCCTCTAAGCCTTAGGCAAAAAGAAATATTTGGGCACCGAGAGAAACCAAACCCTAAACCTATGCCAGAGATGGGATTCAGTTTTATATCACCTGCGTTGCCTGGCAACCACAAGAAGATAAATTAATATAAAGCCTGGTTCAGGACCAACCAGGGACATATTCCTAATGAGGAAACACAGAATAACTACAGAGAAAACAACATCCACTGCACATACATGTACAAGGAAGAAAATGAACTACAAGGAGCAGAGGGAAGAACTCTGCAGGAGAACAAGAGCAAACAGATGCACATCTGTGGGGAGCCGTGCAGTTGGGTCGGATGGCATGGGTATGTGATGAGCACCGCTCCTCAGTTAACAAGGCTGCGAGGAGTTTCTGGCTGCGTGGCAAGGCCCGGCAGAATGTCTCTGGTCACCACATTGCTGCCTCAGCCCATTGTACGGACACTCCATCGCCTCTCTGATGTTTCACAGAGTTCTTCTGAGGGTGTTGTTGTTGTTTTTCTGCTAATGTGAAATGATTCCTGTAACTGGTATAACACCTCAAATTGATCAATCATGTTATGGTAAAAGCTTCTTTAGCGACATAAGGCTATGACACACAGCTAAAAGTATACAATAGTACAATTGAGCCCACAATGTCTCCTAACATCCTGTTATGTGCCCACTTTTGTCCTGAAGTTTGGCCTAATATAAGTAATGTTTTCCTTAAGAAATGGTTTGATAACATTTTGGAACAGATAGCAATCATGGAGGTACAAAGAGTTTGTTTATCATGCGCCTCAAACTGTTACAACACATGATATGACGCATTTTGGTTTCTCACCACGGAAAGCAGAAAGTATATGGGGCATCTTCTAAAGGGAAACAAATGTGAACCACCCCCACCACCCCCAAATGGCTTAAAATCTCAACCTTATATTGGCACTTATATTCAGGGAAAGAAGACAGTTTATAAAAACTTATATCTTATATTGGCACTCATATTTAGGGAAAGAAAACAGTTTATAAAGATAAAAGGAAGTTTCTCATACAGGCCCTCTGTTTGTAGATTGGCTGAGTTGCCTTAATCCCTTTCACTGTCCTTTAACAAAAGAGCAAAAAAACAAATCAACATTAGGAACAAAACACAATTGAATCAGCACTAGGTGAAGGTGACAGTAATTAATGCATGATTTGATTATAAGATTTGGCAAAGAATCTATGTTACATGATTTTATAAATTCCTTTCATTTATGATCTTTTAACTCCGGACTCTTAATCTTTTAAGCAATATTAGTTAGTTTGTGTTTAGTAAAAATTGATTTTGAACATAAGTAAACCACTTGTCACTGCCTGTGCTGCCAACTGTGGAGTTCCTGGCTTCAGCCAGGTCACTGCAGGTTTGAATGAGTAATAGCTTGTTGAAAATATTTCTCTAAAGTAAAATAATAATAATGCTTTTTAGAATGGATTTTGTAATGATGTAAAAATGAAACAATTGGATGTTGTGCAAAAGCTTGCGATGATCTGTGTATAAATAAAGAAGGCAACTTTTCTGAGTTGTCCATCATGAGCATCATACTATAATGGTCCATGCCTCCTCTGCCTCTCCCTCATATCTCTTCTCTTCTTATCATCTCGCCAATCCACACATCCTTTGCAACTCTCGAGTTAGCTGGAGCAGGCCTCCGGCAGACAACCAAGTCAGTAAGATGACCAGAACCAGAGCACTGCAGACAGAAGACCAACATGAGAGCCATTCTTTAATATGTCACTGCAATCATTACATAAGAAAGTTCCAGAGCCAAAAAGAGCATTAAGGGAACAATAAAGAAATCTGAAAAAGAACAAATTAGTCTATCAACACATGGAAAGTATAGTCATGATAATTAAAAACTTAAAAAACAGAAGCAACTAGTTGCCTTGCCCCAGTTCGAGACAAGGACACAAGAATACATCTATGAGGAAATGTCCAGAAAGCAGAGTGACATGCAGGATACATTTCTGTTTGGAGTTCCAAAAACAGGCAATAGAGAGGTTTACAAGACAGGGTGAGAGGAGGATACAGAGTAAAAGATATTTTAAAATGTGGGAGGGGCAGGTGTTTGATACAACAATTAGGGACGCCACCTGAGATACCCACATACCACACCGCAGTGCCTAAGACCAGTCTGTGCTCCACTCCCAGTTCTACCTCCCTGCTGATGTGCATTCTAGGAGCAACAGGTGCAGGCTGAAGTACCTGGGTTCATGTCACTCAAGTGGGAGACCCTGACTGATTTATGGGCTCCTGGCTTTAGCCTGCCCCAAACCTGACTTGCAGGATTATAGGAAAGCCTATCCTCTCCTCTCCTCTCCTCTCCTCTTCTCTCCTCTCCTCTCCTCTCCTCTCCTCTTCTCTCCTCTCCTCTCCTCTCCTCTCCTCTCCTCTCCTCTCCTCTTCTCTCCTCTCCTCTCCTCTCCTCTCCTCTCCTCTCCTCTCCTCTCCTCTCCTCTCTCCCTCTCTCTCTCCTTCCATCTCCCCACCCTTCCCTCTCTTTCTTACACACACACTTACATGCTTTCAACTCAAATGAAAACAAACAAAAATTCTCAACAGCGAAGCTTAGAATAAGGGAAGACAATGCTAGAGCTTTGTATACTAAGTTAATGACAAATTCGAGTCATTTTAGTGATGCTTAATTTAGTTTACCCATGCATTTCAAAACTTACGGCATGAACTCTCAAAATACCAAGAGAAAAGCTACCAAAAAAAAAAAAACAGGTAACTGATTTAAATAGCACTTCACCAAGGAGCCGATGGCAAATAACATGCAAACTAAAATAAATTTAATTTAAATTACAAAGAGGCACTACTATCTACTTGTGAGAATGGATAAAATCAAAGAGAAAGATCAAAGTAGGTGTGGGCAGAGATGCAGAGGAACTAGGT